ATTACAAAGTGTAGATTGGTGGAACCCAATCTAGTTTGTCGTTGATCACAAAGGAATTCTTTGAGAGTTGAGGACACCTTCTTACAAGTTGGATAGTTCATATCATACGTTACTATATACAATCTAGTCATAAACACTCTAAGCAATGCACTGCCAAGAGATATCATCATTAACAATAAAATAATTTCTTTTGGGCTCAAATCGAAAATTTGGTAAACCATCCTGTTCTAAATTCATTGAAGCCCTAACATTTCTATGCAGTGAAACAATTTCATTGAAGATAGCACAATTATGTGAGTTTACTCCTAGGTTAGCAAGTCGATTTGCGACCATGTTTCCTTCTCTAAATACGTGTGTAAACTTGAAATCTCCAATCGTAGTTACCTCCCAAATTAAATATGCTCAATAATATGTTTGATTTGCCAAGAAGGTACCATATTTCTATTAATTATGTTGACAGTAAATATTGAATCAGATTCCACATAAACTTTCAGAAAACCAGAATTACTACATAAACTTAATACCATGCAATAGTGCCTTGGCTTCTATTAAACTGGCCATAGAATTCTGCAAAAGCCTTTATCATGTTTCCGCGATGATCACTAATGATATCCCCTCCTCCTGCTGAACTAAGATTACCTTTGTTGCATCCATCAACATTCAATTTTACCCAACCCCTATCGGGTTTGTTCCATTTAATAGCCTGGGAGTGAATAGAAAATTGTAACTTCTCCACATACTTACACTTGTCGATCCAGAGTTGTGAAAGTTTTAGAGTAGGAAACTGACAATTAAGGATTAATGTTAAGCACTTTGAGATGATGATATGCCACCCTGACATGGATTTATTATCAAACCTTGCTGCATATCTGTTCAACCATATTTTCCAACAAATCATAGACGGTATACATTGGAGTAACACTGAGTGAACTCCATTTCTTTTTTTTGCTAACCACCAATTCATGATGGTTTGTCTTAGATGACCAGTGCTAAATCAAACCCAAAAAAATAATTACGTTTGAAGAACCAAACCTGTCTAGCAATTTGGCTATCTCTGAATATATGGGACATTGTTTCCTCCTATGTCTAGTACAACAACTACAAACAGAAAGGATTAGAATCCCAATTTTCTTAATTGCATCATATCACGACCCAAAATTCTAACCTGTCGTGATGGCACCTATCGTGGTACTAGGCAAGCCGTTCTTTTGAAATAATTCCAACACCTTTAACAGAAATGAATTAAAGCAGTTTAAATAATAAATGTTTTAATAAAACAGGGATAGAAACCCAAAACACAACACGGAAGTTCCCAACTATCGGGGTGTCACAGAGTACATGAGCATCTATACATCACAAGTCTAGAATATACTGTCTATGGTAGTCTGAAATTAAATACAATAAACAGAAAGATAGGAATGGAGTGACAAGGTCTGCGAAACGCCGGGCAGCTACCTTGGAATCTCCAAAAGATCAACCGTGCGATAGAATCAACACCCACCGTGTCCGAAAATATCTGGATGTGCGCACGAAGTGCAGTATGTAGCGTGAGTACAACCAACTCAGTAAGTAACAATACTAAATAAAGAACTGAAAGTAGTGACGAGCTTCACAGTTATAGTCCAATTACAATAATTTCAACATAGGGAGGCAGGCATGCTTTCAAGTTTGACAATTAAGACAAAACAGTAAATTCATGTCAAGTTCAACTAAAACAGAAGATAAGATCTCTCAGAAATTTCAAGACAGTGATATATGACAGGTGAGTGCAAAAATAATGAAGTCAATGCATCCTCTCAGAGCAACAATCACTCAGTCCTCCCATTCACTCCAACCTCACATTCACTCTTTCCTCACAGTCACTCATATCTCTCAATCACTCAGCACCCGACACTCGACACTCAGTAGGTACATGCGCTCACTGGGGATGTGTACAGACTCCGAAGCTTCAGCCCAAGCGCTATAACAAGTCAATCATGGCATACCTTAGTGAAACATGTTTCAGTGTGCAACCCGATCCTATAAACATCCTCATAATCAGGCCCTCGGCCTCACTCAGTCATCAACCTCTCCAGTCTCAGGCTCTCAGAAATCATGATAAGCAGCCCAAACAGCAATAATATGATGCATCAATGATGAACAATAGACACTGAGATGTAATATATGAGTATAATTGTGACTGAGTACAAAACAACAATTTAGCAGATAATTCAATATGTACACGACCTCTATGGGTCCCTACAGTGCCAACACATAGTCTAAACATGATTGCTAACATGATTTGTGGTTCAATTTCTCTAATATATGGAGAATGTACAAACAACAACAAATTACTCAATTACACAGTTCCATTAAATTTGACCAAGTTACAATTCTTACGGTGCACACTCACACGCCCGTCACCTAGCATGTGTGTCACCTCAAAACCAAATATATGACACATAATACGGGGTTTCGTACCCTCAGAACCAAATTTAAAACTGTTACTTACCTCAATCCAAGCAAATCTCTACTCCAACATACTCTTGCCTCGTGAAACGGCCTCTGAATGCCTCGAATCTTGCCTCGCGAACCCTTGTTTTAATAATATTCCCAGCACTTCCGCTTCTGCGGCGTCGTAGAAGTGACATCACACATGCATCTGCGGCTCATTCCGCTCCTGCGGTCCCTCACTCCG